TATGCTAAATGCTCTTTCAATATATAATAGTTCCTGAGCATTATTAGAATTCAATGCTCTTACATAAGTGTCCTTAAGTTAAAAGCAATAAATAAAAATTTACAATATTATTGAGATACATACCAATGAAATAAATAGATACCAAGAAAAAATCAGGATGCGAACAAATATTTTGAAAAATAATAGTATTGAGTGTCTTTCGTCTCATCTTACGGGAGATTAGTATTATATAAGTTTATAGTAGCTAAACATATTGAGAATACAAAGTTCATTCTTATCTTTGATGATGTCGTATTTAAATAGAAATAATACTTCATTCATATCGAGGCAGTGACGTATAGGGTGAGTTCAAAGATGAAGGCGGTGAGCACACGCGTTTTGGCGCGAAAATTCCCGCCAAATCCACAGGTAGCCCAACAAAAGAGAAAAAATACGAGTTTTAGTCAAAATTGAAATGATGAGGCGGCTTTTAGAAGCTTGCTATTGTTGTTGTTGTTTAGCGGCGGAGACGAGATATAGAACAACTCAACGCAATTCATTCACATTAAGCCAGGAAGTTAGCCGGAGGTAAATACTTTAATTCGCATTCACTATGGTCCATCGGACATACGCTAATGGTTTAGCGGGGTTTTATAGGGGGATTCAGGAAACGTTGTATCATGAAATTTATTCGCTCAACAAATCGGTTAACAAGTCTCAGGTTGTTTTTGATCTAAATGAGGCAGTACATGCGATAGGAAGCTTCAAGGATTAAGAGGTTAATTGGGGCGTCATGCAGGRAAAAAAATCATTGTCGCAATATGTGACAACTATTAAGTTTCATTTGTTAATTGTTGTTTTGGAACAGAGGTTGCTAATAAGAAAAGAAATGAAGGGAAAGGGAAGGAAATAAAGAAAAGAAACAGGAAAGGACAAATCAGCAAGAAAGGAAAGGGAATGAAAGGAAAATAAGAAGGAAGCAAACAAGAAAAAGAAAAGAAAGAAAGAGACTCAGAAAAGAGAAGGAAAGAAAAGAAAGAAATCTGAAAAAAAAAAAAAGAAAAAAAAGAAAAGAAAAGAAAAGGGAAAGAAAAGAGAAAAGAAAGGAAAACCTCTTGATTCAATCAGTAAAGGCTCGATCTATGAGTTAGAATTTTATCAGCCCAGGGGTTGTTTCAGGGTATCAACAGATTTGGAGGGTCTTAATACCGGAAGGTCAGAACATGAATGAAAGTTATAAACTTTGAAACTTTTCCATTCACAGATGTACATGTTATTGGTAACAAAATGGACAACGCTCAAGACAAACCATCCATGTTCTACTTGTTTTCTATGTTTACTTGTTGACACTCGGACTTTCTATACACTTCTAATATCCGAGTGTCGTATTTTAGGAAAAACCTCCATCTTTTTCACGCCGGAACTCTTTCACTTTCTACCCTTGTGCTCAGTGTTGTATAGACAAACCTCTTCAAAAGCACTTTTAAAAAATGCCAAATTGAAAACGATTCCATTAAAGATATTTTTCCTGTGCCATGCATCATTTAATGGCTTAATCAAGTTAAGCCATTCCTGATGGTTTTTAGCTTAAAAACGAGTTGAAAGTTTAATTTTGAATAAATAAGTTTTTGACGTTTTTAAGTGTTGAGATAGAAGTTGCTTTCTCCAAACGAAGTTAAGCGGCTTTTTTGAGCCTTTCTGTTCTATTTTTTTATTTTATTTATTTTTTATTTGAGTCAATATAGTTTAAATGGAGTTCTGAATCCTATCTGCGATGCATTTGTGTGGTTTGAATATGAATTATTTCATGTTATACATCGTTGTAGTGAACAACTTATTAATCACCTTACATTTCGAATTTTCCTTTCTTCTTCTTATTTTTATACAATTTTTTTATAGTTTATTACACCTCGGCATTTGAAATTCCACTCGGATTTTGAAATCCCAATAGAATACAGCAACTCGTATTTGAAACATATGTGATTACATCATTTATTACTCGAGAGCGAACGTCTTCGACCACAGGGAGCCCAATTTAGATTAAAGTGAATGGTAAAAATAAAACCGGAAAAACTAAATAATTTTTTTAATACGAAAGAGTTAAAAAAATCGATTAAAAAAATGCACTAGAACATTTTTTCGCGCGCGCCTTTGTTTTCCTATATAATTTCCCTATGATATCTAATGTCGCTCTTATCTATATATACTCTTACATTAGAACTACCAAAAGCTTAAGGGAGCCACCTTAAGTGAATGGTTGTGATTGGCTGCCAGTTTGTGAGTCATGCGCATGCGTTAATGACGATTTTCCTCCTTGATCTACAAGAAGATGGATAGTCTTTTTCATTCTATTAACGGTGTCTTATTACTTGTTTGCTCACTTATTTTATTTGCTTCAAGCTTTTCAATTTAAAAACTACTCTAGGAATATTTTCTTTTAAGATGTTTAATTTTTTCTTCAGCACTAAGAGGGTGCCAATGGGGTACCCAAATGAGTTAACTATTTCGGACGATTGTCAGTTATCTGTAATAAATTTGCGAGCGCTGGCCATAATATCAACAAAAATAATGAAATATCAGTTGACTGTAAACTACTAATGTAAGGTTATTTGTAAGTTAACTACTATATTTTTGGCCAACTGTCAATTAACTACTTACCCCCTTTGTCTTTGCCGCCTCTTAGTCTAGTCCATTGTTTAACGACCTGCAGCAAAAAGCACTTCAAACCGCTTCCCGAAACCAAACTGCTGCAGGATCGATGCACCATTCTTAATTGATCTTTAAATTGCATTATCCTATCTTCTTCAAAAACACTAAAACCTCATCAGAAACCTTAGCCTTGATGAAAGTATTATTTGTGATTATATTTCCAATGGTTAAGAGGCCATAAAACATTGAATCTTCTGCCTTCCAGGTGAAAAAGCAAGGTAAAAGAGCAGTTCGCCTACTTACGGTTTAATTTTACCGTAAAAAGGGTGAACTTCCATATGCTAAACGAAGTCGGAGGGCCCCATTTTTTATTTACTTATTTTACTCCTAGTAAAAAAGTAAATTTAAAAAATGTCCACTGCGTATATCCTAAGTATCAGTATTCCTAGTAATAATGCAATAAGCACTAGAATTTATGGTAAAAAGTTATGTCTATAATTCAGCAGCTTCTGACTTCCCGGCTCCGATACCTAAGTTAGCAGAGAACTCCAGACGAAAACAATATAAATCAGTACATATTTGAGGTATCATGGCACCCCTAGCGAACAGTGTGCATTCAACTCTTAATAGCGCCAAACTTTTTAATCGAAACCTCAACAAAGTATACATTTTCTGAAAGCTGAATAAATGTAGAAACTATYCCTTTTTTCCTTTTCATCAAATAAATTTATCCTTTTAAGTTAGAGCGAATTATTCAAATTTTCACTTTGACATCTTCGCGGAGTTCGATGACAGCCGAGATCACAAGACATCACTTGTCAAAAGCGTGTCTCCGATTTTTGATTAGTTGCCTCGTTGCTTTTTTATACGCTCTTAAAGTTATGACGCTGCTATATCAGCTGTATCCGAGCAAAAATCCACGATAACTTTGGAAATAAGCAAAAAATAAAAAACCGGAGACACACTTTTAAAGAACAACTATTCAAGATGACTTCCTCAAAATTTCAGTTAAATCGGTCAAATTCCCTTTGACAATGAACTCAAATTGTACGTGTAACTGAACGCAAAATCACTTCTGAGAAAAACGCAAAATTGTTTTTCAAGCCAAGAAGTGCCTTTGTTCATGACATAAGGAGATTATTACGGACACCAAAGTGTGTCCCCGATGACAGATAAAGTAACGAGAAACCAAGATCGATTCGAATTACTTTACCCAAAACATTTCGTTCCGCCGCTCCTGCAATACCGCTCAGCAGTGTTTTTTTAGGCATTCATCGCTATTATTCAAGTTCAGACGTTTTGTTCAGACGTTCAGGGCATACTTTTTATTTTCAAATGTACGCCTAACTAAAGAGAAAAGCAAGCAAACAGTGGGACGCAACAGTGGCTGATAGAGACGTAACGACAGAGTGTTGACAAGTGATGTCAACAATAAATCGAAAACTATTAAAGCTTTTCGTTTATTTCTCGTTATCAAAAAAACGCTATTAGAAAATTATTTTTGGAAAATGATAGCTTATTGTGTTTTCTCTCGCAAAATGTAAAAACCTAAGATCAATCTTTCGTAGCAATTTTGGGTAGGGTTTAGAGCTCTGATCAGTAAAACCTCAGCATGTAAATCGTGCAAGTGAAGTGGAATGATTTTAGTCATGTGATGCATTAAGGTTATCAGATTCCAACAATGGGAACCTTACATTCAGTGATGAGCAATCAGTCTAACCATTTGTAGTAGTGTACAAAAATACAGAAATCAAGTGCAAAGGTTTCTCATTCGTTACGTGTAGCAAAAACTTATAGCTCAAACGATATCATAATTTGTTATGTTGTACAACTCTGACTCTTGTAGAGGAAGTGTTTGGCACTCTTGAGATATTTTAGTAATTTGCTGTAAGACTTCATCTTCGAAAATTCTCAAACTCAAAAACATTAAACTACAGTTTGCGTTTTGAGTTTGAATTGAAGGCTCGATATCGTAGCACGTTCCCGATAAAACTGTAACTTAAACTACCATATGAAATAACATTTCTGTAAGGGATATTAGGTCTAGAACCATTTTCAAACTAATACCGCTATATTTACAAACTCAGGGTTAGACTCAATATATCCACGACAATACCAACGGTAAAGTAAAGAGTGCACAACTTCAACGATACAAGCGCTTTGAAATTCCACGGACCTTCACTGGAACACATGAATATTTCTTTAACTTTGAGCAAAAGAGAATGCAAAACTAGAAAGTTTTTGATGCGATTTTCTTTTTTCCATTCGAATCGTATATTCCTTTTAGGCCAGCAAAGTTTCTAACCCACCTTTGGCCCTCATTCCATGATCCCTCGAATCACAGGAGAGAACCAACGAACAACTCTACTCACTGGTTTTGAAGATGGCATATACAGCGGTGATAGGCGAAGTACTTATTAGAAGAGCGCCCCAGACAAGCTCCCAACAACTTCATGGGAAGCGAGACTGAAAAAGACATATACAATAAACTTATATATATAGTTGAATACGATATCATAAATTTTGCCCCATGGCACTTCAAAGCGAGGAGACACGAGTCTACTATTTAACGGCATGAGTGATTTGCTAGAAGAGTTTCCGATGTAATGGTATCGGGCTTCCAGTAAATGACATTTATCTTAATTTACAATTAATCTTAATTTATTTATAAAACATATATAAGTTCTGCCTTAGGGAATAAATTAAAGTGTATATGACACGAAAAAATTTTAATGTTAAGAATGTGTAGTTTATTGGCATTAATAAGAATATTGCAGTTAAATTTGTTCCAAAAACGTATTTCTCTAGAAATTCAAAAAATTTTAGCACGAGTTGTGACGTCATTTTGTTTACAAGTCTCCAGATTTAGTTGCAAATACACGAAATATGTTTGAATATAGAATCTTAATTTCAAGTAGTACACTTTTCAATTTCCCAACATTGGAAGAGTACTACGTAAGCTATCAAATGAAGCTGACTAAAATATGTCTTTTGTTGTTAATTTATATGAATTACAATTTATATTTAGTACATTACTACTGAATCTAGAGTACGTGTCAACAAAATGAGGTCACAAATTGGGATTAACTTTCGCAAATATCTCAAGAAATAAGCTTTTGAAACAAATTTTGTTACGATATATTTATTAYTACTAACAAACTATACATTTTAAATGATGGAATGTTTTCGTGTCATATACACTTTAAGTAAGCATTTAAGTGCAATTTAATACGAAATGGAACTTTTTTGTTAAAAAAGCTGCAATAAAATTAAATGTTATTTGTGTTATACACACACCCAAGTGATAGACTAATTAATTATAGAAAATAAGCGTCTATAATTTTCAATTCCATTCTTTTAAAGTGCTACTTGGACGTGAAATCGCTCCAAAATTAAAACTCTTTCATTCGAGCTGGAACTTTGCTGAAATAATCTTTGATATATTAAGAATCACTCACTGAAATATCTTTCTGATATTCGAAAGGAAAGGTCCAAAATTTTACGATTTATTTTCGTCCGCCATTAATTTCTTGTTACAAGAATTCGGCTCAAGAAGACTGGCACGAGTAACGTATGACGTCATAGATTCAACCCAAACCAAAACATTGGTGGCTAATGAATGTACCATGTTCGTAAAACTCGGTTCATTTGGTTTAATCAGAAAATATATAATGTTTCATTCGATTCCTTAACTACTATATTTACTACCATATAGGTTTCTTTCGGATAGGAAACAAAGGGTGGTGCATAATGATTTAGCTCAGTGATCATGAATTGGAGATGTGTGAATCGTGGTACCACCCAAGGGAGAGTAAACGGGCCGTATGTTTTTAGTCTTTTTCTAAATGACTTACAAATAGATTAATCTGAGAACTTTAGTTTGATTAAGTATGCGGATGATAGTTCTATTGCCCTAATTCACTATGACGTCACATCAAAACAATCTATTGTTTAAACGTAAAGGATCATGGTCGTCGGACGGGGTCAAATCAACGCAAATTCAATGAAAATTGTTCTAAAACCCGTATCAATCCACGAAGAGAAGTAGAATAGCCAGCAAACGCTCAGAATATATTTTGGTACATATTAACACATATTATATCTGAAAACCCCTGACCAGGCCATTTTAGATTAAACTGTTTCGCTAGGAGCAAATTTTGTTGAATTTTCTATTGGATTTGGCGATTCTATCCCCCACATAAACAAGCAGTGACGTCATAGTGAATTAGGGCAATTGTAGTCCCTGAGGATAGATACACTATTGTTTAATCACCTAGGAAAATTGATCTTTTTTTAGACTGGACGCAAAGGAATCGACATGAAGTGTCATGCAAGCAAATGTAAGGAAATATGTATAGTTAAGGAGGATGTGGGTAGTTTTGATCTGGCACACCTAGCCGCATTGAAACGGCTACAACTTCGTCTTGAATAACTCGATCTGCAAGCRCTTTTCMCACAATGTCAGGAAAGGATTAAAGGTTTCAAAAATGATRAATTAGTTTAAAGCGGCCTTTTCATTATGACGTAATTGAAGGGTTTTAAGGCAGTTAAATAAAAATAAGTACGCTCAATACTATTTTCGCTCACGGCTGCTTGTTGATTATTAGCGCTTGACTTCCGTGTTATTCCTTGTCGTGTGCTGTTAGTTGTGAGCGTACTTATTTTTATTTGACTGCCTTAAAACCCTTCAATGCATATGAAATTAAAGTAAAATATTTGGAAAAGATACATCTTTTAGCGACTTCATTTAGAAAAACATCGTTCGACGATTTTTTCAATGTCGCTTTCATCGATATTTTCTATCGCTTTTGACAACAAATGGGGTCATTTAGCTTCATATCAAAAAATCCATAACGTTAGAAAGAAAGTCACAATTTGATTCATACTCAATAAGCCTTTTCATAGTTTAAGAATCGATTCCACTGCGCATGCGATCTTATCCCGAATTTCTCACCTTCTTTTGTTTAACTAAGAACAAAAGAAGGTTTAGACAAAAGAAGGTGAGAAATTCGGGATAAAATCGCATGCGCAGTGGAATCGATTTTTAAACTATGAAAAGGCTTATAAGGACAGTGTCTATATCCGTACCTATGTTCTAGCTACTAAAAATATTGAATCCACTAAATTAAAGTCCCGATTTTGAGGGTATAAAGTTGACACGCTGGAAATGATGGTAAAAGGCCATGAAAATATTCATCGCGTAATATTTGGAAAACGCTCTCATACATGTTTTTCATATTGCAATATGTTGGGTGCCTTGATGAATACTATCGACTGGTGCAAGTCGCTTTGAAAGTTTAGGTCTAGTTTTCGAGAAAATAAGCGGTAAACGTTTTCTATGATGTCATCATTACGTCATAATGAAAAGGCCGCTTTAAACTAATTCATCATTTTTGAAACCTTTAATCCTTTCCTGACATTGTGGGAAAAGTGCTTGCAGATAGAGTTATTCAAGACGAAGTTGTAGCCGTTTCAATGCGGCTAGGTGTGCCAGACCAAAACTACCCACAGCCTCCTTAAGAAAGGGTGTAAAGAAACCTTTCCACTTGTACAAGGGATTGAACAATTGAAAGAACGCACTGTACTAGGTTTAACAATACAAAGTAATTGCAAGTATTCAGCTCATGTCAAAACTAAGTTATGGGAAGCAAATAGGTGTTTATATATTATTAGATCCTTACGGAAAGGCTATACACAGCAAGAAATAGATCATTTATTCAAGTCTCTTTCTTGTACTCCCTAAATTTACTTATGTGTTGCCTGTTTATGGAGCCAGTCCTTCAAATCTTAATATCATACAATGTTTTTTAATTAGATATTACAAAAGGTGTTGTGTGACCGCAGACTCTATGCTAAGATCATGAGCATAATCCTTCTCATCCGTTATATTCGCTTCTAGCTTCTAAAGGTGAAAGATTATTCTAAAAAACTACGCGCTCGGCAAGGCCTAAGATTAATATAGAACGTTTTAAGAATTGTTTTTTTAACAGGCTAGTTTTTAAGTATAATTTAGAGGGGAAGTAATTTTATGGTTTTACGAATATTCTTTTCAATTTTTGTAATCTTGTATACGTATATATATTTTTCTAGCGTTTATAGTTCTAATATTTGTAACATTTGTTATGTATTTCAACGAATGAAATAAAGACTTATTATTTTTATTATTTTTCCCTTTATTCTTTACTTGTTTCCTTGTTGTTGATTTTTGGCTCCCTTCCTTCCTTTAGAGAAGAGAAGAGAAGAGAAGAGAAGGGATCAAGAGAATATACCCATTTTCGTTCCCAAATCCTCCTCGACTTTCAAAGGAAAAATCGATTTTTCGTGAAGTGTGTTGGTACGAGAATGGAAAAGTACCGACATCAAATCTGTACCTTCACCTTGTTTGGTTGCGGTATATAAACCTAGTCATTCATCATCCCCTCCCCAACTACTACTACAAAATCATTAACTTTTCCGATATTCTGGGTCATTTATTTAACACAAAACAACGATTCCGACTCGAAATGTTTCGTGCTTAACCACTCAACCAATATCGAAGAAATTTGACCATTTACCTTTGTATTGGTATTTTCGCCTGCAATAAGGCAAGTTGTAAACAATATCTTCCTGCCTGAAGTACAAATTAGCATCATTGAAAAAAAAAAAAAAAAAAAAAAGCACTTACTTACTACTTAGCTCTTAAATGACTGTCTTTGGTAATTCCGCACTGGCTAGCCTGAGTTCCGCATTGCGAACGAGTCATTTTATATATCAAAAGAACCCGGCGAGAGTGAAGCTATTAAGTGAAACTAAAAACGCTTAATGATATAATATTTTGCCCTGATCCAAAAGAAAAATGTCAGGTTCTGAGTTCGTTTTTTTTTTTTTTGATATAAAGTTTTGAATATTAGCATCTTCAAATGAAAAATTAATAAAGAAAAAGAAAAAAGAAAAAAAGAAAAGAAAAGAAAAGAAAAGGAAAGAAAAAAAGAAAGAAAGAAAAGCGGATTCCAATGAACAAAATAATTCATAACTCGAAGTAAATTTCTTAGAACTTCTACAATATTTTCGAGAACTCATTCAAAATATGCGACGAAAGCTATGAGAATAACTTTTCAAAGTTCCACAAAAGATTGCCTTCTATTCGAGCGCGTAAATCGAAAGTAGCGCGGACGCCTTAAATACAAGGATTTAATGTACGTTTTAATTAGGAATTTCTTAAGGACTTTTTTCAAAACGTGAAGAGTATCTTCATGCCAAAACTTTGTTAAGAATCAGTGTTTTCAATTCCCTTCCAATAAAATAAGATTTGTTTTTGCAATTCCTGTAATTTTTGTACAATATTTTGCAAAAGATTTTAAATGGACTGCATGCGAAATATTTCCTTAGTTCAGTGAAAAGTGATATTATGATATAGAAATATCGAAGCTATAGAAGTCAGGGAGTCTGATATTCATGCCAGAGTTCGTACATGCATTAATACAATTTGTTTTGAATCCAAAAGCTGATTTGTTTTGTGTACCAAAATTAATTGAAAATAAATCTACTGAATTATAGATAAGACCATTTTTTTAAATTGATTAAGCTAAGGACAAGTAAAAGCAAGTAAAAGCAGCAAACTGGCAACTCAAGAATAACTATTTTCCGATTATGTTTTTACTCGGTTTTGCGGCTTTTGCCATGCAATGTTCAGGTTTATGAACTTAATGATTTACTGACTTTATTCGCTTTATGCTGATTTCTTCAATTTTTTATTTATTTTCGTTAACATTTTTGTTTTCGTTTTTACTTACTTTCTTTCTTTCTTTCTTTCTTCATTTCTTCCTTCCTTCCTTCCTTCCTTCCTTCCTTC